ATGCAATATTTTGCTTTTCCTAATACAATTAAAATTCTCATTTTTTTCTAAGTGTCATTTATGAAGTCTTTAGCTATCCCTAAAGAATAATTTGATGATTTCATGGTGAAATTGCAGATTAAACACTTCAGGCTAAAAAGTAAATTAACAGTTTTGGGAAATGTAGACACACGTTATAATAGCAAGGGATATGTAACCAGCAAGCAGGTGCAACTGAGCGTGTCATGTGATGCTTGGACTAGGCGTTTTTTATCTGCTACTAGTTGTGACATATTTGGAAAACTTTTTAATCCTCTAGAGCAATCCTTTGCAACCTTTTTATTATGCTAGAATCCCTGAAATAATTTTATGGTTTCAGGGAACTCCTGCTAATGATTACTATATCTACAGCTCACAATACATTACTTTGATGGTCAGTGGGAAGAATCCCTTAGCTAAAAAGATAGCTAAAAAGGTAATTGGTGTCAGTGGTTACTTATCTGAGAGGTAGAAATTGCTCAAGAAACACCTAGCAACCTTTGGAGGAACCCTGTGGTTTCACAGAACCCTGGTTGAAATAGGCTGCTCTAGAGGGCTTTTATATATTTCCTTGTGGATAATAACGTTTATTTTATAGGCAAACTATAATGTGTTAGTTCAAGTTTAACTATGTTTATACTTTTTTTAAAACTATGTTTTTATATTGATTTGTACAATTTATATAAAATCTTTGCTGTAAACATCTAAAAATAAAGTGCACTTTTGACACTGCTATCACAGAACACTGTTGGTTTTTTAAAGAGCGCACACAACAAAATGTTTCCTTTATCTAACTGAAATGCCATACATCTGTGTTGCACTTAGCCCCACAGGAACCGCTGGTGGTGATGGGTTCTCTCTTCTTCCCCACTCTGAAAGTTGCTTGGTCTCCTCTGACACACCTGCTTGTAAGTTGAAAGCTGCTCACACATGTGTAAGTTAAGCATTAGTATGCTACCACTCTATAACACTACACAGGAATTAGCCCAAACAACCAAAGGTAGATTAAATATGGTAGATGTATTGAAGCAATGCAGTTATACAATGAATAAATCATCAAACAAGCAAATACATAGATTCAAGTATTTCATAGCAAGTAAATGAGCACTGACCTATAAGCTGGCAATAAATGTGACTGTAGCAATGGTAAAGCAAGCTATAACTGGTACAAACAGGGTTAAAGTATTGGCATCAACTAATTCAAGAAAACAAGGGTCCTTGTGTGCACACTACGCATACAGCCCCAAGAGCAGACATATGCATTCCTAACAGCAAAGTACACTATATTGCCAAAAGTAGTGGGACGCCTGCCTTTGCATGGACATGAACTTTAATGGCATCCCAGTCTTGGTCCGTAGGGTTCAATATTGAGTTGGCCCCCCTTTGCAGCTATAACAGCTTCAACTATCCTGGGATGGCTGTCCACAAGGTTTAGGAGTGTGTCTATGGGGATGATTGACCATTCTTCCAGAAGCTCTTTGTGAGGTCAGGCACTGATGTTGGACGAGAAGGCTAATTCATTCCAAAGGTGCTCTATTTGGTTGAGGTGCAGGCCAGTCAAGTTTCTCCACCCCAACTCACTCATCCATGTCTTTATGTAACTTGCTTTGTGCACTGGTACACAGTCATGTTGGAACAGAAAGAGGCCATCCCCAAACTGTTCCCACAAAGTTGGGTGCATGAAATTGTCCAAAAAATCTTGGTATACTGACGCCTTAAGAGTTCCCTTCACTGGAACTAATGGGCCAAGCCTAACTCCTGAAAAACAACCCCCCACCATAATCCCCCCTCCACCAAACTTTACACTTGGCACAATGCAGTCAGGCAAGTACAGTTCTCCTGGAAATCGCCAAACCTAGACACATTCATCGGAGTGCCAGACAGAGAAGCGTGATTCATCACTTCAAAGAACAGGTCTCTACTGCTCTAGAGTCCAGTGACGGCGTGCTTTACACCACTGCATCTAATGCTTTGCTTTGTGATGTAAGGTTGCAGCTGCTCAGCCATGGAAACCCATTCCATGAAGCTCTCTATGCATTGTTGTTGTGCTAATCTGAAAGCTACTAACAGTTGGAATATTTAGTAGCAAGGAAATTACATGGATGGACTTATTGCACAGGTGGCAACCTATCACAAGACCAAGCTTGAATTCACTGAGATCGACCCGTTCTTTCACAAATGTTAGTAGAAGCAGTCTTCATGCCTAGGTGCTTGATTTTATACACCTATGGCCATGGAGGTGATTGGAAAACCTTTCATTGGGGCCCTTCTATAGGTAGCACATGTGCATCTGTCCCTTTAGAAGTGTGCAGTGGATGGCTAGTGGGCTGCTAAACAAGGGGGAGTCTCTCCTGCATTAACTATGTCAGTGTGGAGATGTTCAGCTCATCCCTCCTAGTACACAGGGATCTGATCCAGATCATTTGGCGTTCTGCAGTTGGATCCTCACAAGACCCACAGGTCTAAGCCCTCTGGTGTAGGCACTCATGGCAACAGGTCTCTCAGCTCTGGTGTAGGCACTCTTGGCAGTGGGACCTTCAGCTCTGGTTCCATAAACTAAATTTAGCCTAGCAACTAGAGATGAGCGAATCGAACATGGCGAAGTGGAATTCGTTTCGAAGATCAGGAAAAATTTGATTCGCGCCGAATCCGAAAATTAGCAAACTTCGGATGCACGAATCGAATTTTCCCAAAAATGGCGGCAACATGTGTGGCGACGAAGCGGGGATCTCTGGGAAGGCGCGCAGACAAGGCGCGCTGACCCATAATGCATTCATTCATGACATGTGATCGCATTAGCCAATCAGCAGCCAGCCAGCCAGCACTGTGTAATGGTGGAGCTATAAATTGCGGCCATCTTACAATTCTCCATTAGCCTCCGGTCATTCAAGAGAGACAGACCTGTCTGTATTAGGGACAGAGTTAGGGCCAGAGAGACTTTAGGGCCACAGAATCGTTACTTAGGGACACAGAATCGTTACTCAGGGACACAGAATTGTTACTCAGGGACAGACACAGAATTGTTACTCAGGGACACAGAATTGTTACTCGGGGACACAGAATTGTTACTGAGGGACACAGAATCATTACTGAGGGACACAGAATTGTTACTCAGGGACACAGAATTGTTACTCAGGGACAGACACAGAATTGTTACTCAGGGACACAGAATTGTTACTCAGGGACAGACACAGAATTGTTACTCAGGGACACAGAATTGTTACTGAGGGACACAGAATTGTTACTCAGGGACACAGAATTGTTACTCAGGGACACAGAATTGTTACTCAGGGACAGACACAGAATTGTTACTCAGGGACACAGAATTGTTACTCAGGGACACAGAATTGTTACTCAGGGACACAGAATCGTTACTCAGGGACACAGAATTGTTACTCAGGGACACAGAATTGTTACTCGGGGACACAGAATTGTTACTGAGGGACACAGAATCGTTACTGAGGGACACAGAATTGTTACTCAGGGACACAGAATTGTTACTCAGGGACACAGAATTGTTACTCAGGGACAGACACAGAATTGTTACTCAGGGACACAGAATTGTTACTCAGGGACACAGAATTGTTACTGAGGGACACAGAATCGTTACTCAGGGACACAGAATTGTTACTCAGGGACACAGAATTGTTACTCAGGGACACTGAATTGTTACTCAGGGACACAGAATCGTTACTGAGGGACACAGAATCGTTACTGAGGGACACAGAATTGTTACTCAGGGACACAGAATTGTTACTCAGGGACACAGAATTGTTACTCAGGGACACAGAATCGTTACTGAGGGACACAGAATCGTTACTGAGGGACACAGAATTGTTACTCAGGGACACAGAATTGTTACTCAGGGACACAGAATTGTTATTCAGGGACAGACACAGAATTGTTACTCAGGGACACAGAATCGTTACTCAGTGACACAGAATCGTTACTGAGGGACACAGAATCGTTACTCAGGGACACAGAATCGTTACTCAGGGACACAGAATCGTTACTCAGGGACACAGAATTGTTACTGAGGGACACAGAATCGTTACTGAGGGACACAGAATCGTTACTCAGGGACACAGAATCGTTACTCAGGGACACAGAATTGTTACTCAGGGACACAGAATCGTTACTGAGGGACACAGAATCGTTACTGAGGGACACAGAATTGTTACTCAGGGACACAGAATTGTTACTCAGGGACACAGAATTGTTACTCAGACACAGAATTGTTACTCAGGGGACACAGAATTGTTACTCAGGGACACAGAATTGTTACTCAGGGACACAGAATCGTTACTGAGGGACACAGAATCGTTACTCAGGGACACAGAATTGTTACTCAGGGACACAGAATCGTTGAATTAAAGAGTATGTCAGACAACACGCAGAGGAGTGGCAGAGGAGGCAATGTTTCAGGAGCGAGCAGACGTGGCAGCAGAGGAAGGGGTCGAGGCAGCACTACTCGCAGCCAGAGGCCAGTGCTCCCGGTGTCATCCAGCGGTCGTGTCTCCACCGACAACCCTGCCGTCATCGATTGGTTGGCTCGGTCGTCTTCCTCTTCCCAGGTCACCTCTGACACCTACAGCCAACGGTCGGTGGGTACGTCAGACACAACCGTTAGTTGGCATGGCCCGGGAGCAAGCCCACTGAAATCACGTGTCCTCTACCTGCCCCTGTCCTTTGGTGTTCCCTCACCAAGCGAAGTATCGCATGCTGTGGGCTCAGCCCCACTGTACAGTGAGGAAGAGCTAACAGAGGGCGGTCAGGAACGGGGGGAGACATCCGCCTCTTCAGCAGCCAGGCGAAGAAGTACTGGCGAGGAGAGTGGCTCGGTAGCCGGTCTAGAGACAGGTCTGTCTCCTGACCCACACGTAGCCGAGGGGGCTAGTAGTGAGGCGGAGACCCTAATTGATGATGATGAGGCTGATCGCACTTGGCAGCCTCGTCGTCATCTGCCAGGCCCGTAATCTGCCATGGGCCCCCGTACCGACTCCTCATGCTGCTGCCAGGCCCGTAATCTGTCATGGGCCCCTGTACCGCCTCCTCATGCTGCTGCCAGGTCCAGAGTGTGTCATGGGTCCCTGTACGGCCTCCCATTGCTGCTGTCTCCATCGCCACACTCTGCCATGTGCCACTTTCATGTCTCCTCACACTGCTGGTGGGTTCCATTTTGTCATAGGGTGCTGGCAGATTACGGGCCTCCCATTGCTGCTGCCAGGCCCGTAATCTGCCATGGGCCCCCGTACCGACTCCTCATGCTGCTGCCAGGCCCGTAATCTGTCATGGGCCCCTGTACCGCCTCCTCATGCTGCTGCCAGATCCAGAGTGTGTCATGGGTCCCTGTACGGCCTCCCATTGCTGCTGTCTCCATCGCCACACTCTGCCATGTGCCACTTTCAGGTCTCCTCACACTGCTGGTGGGTTCCATTTTGTCATAGGGTGCTGGCAGATTACGGGCCTCCCATTGCTGCTGCCAGGCCCGTAATCTGCCATGGGCCCCCGTACCGACTCCTCATGCTGCTGCCAGGCCCGTAATCTGTCATGGGCCCCTGTACCGCCTCCTCATGCTGCTGCCAGGTCCAGAGTGTGTCATGGGTCCCTGTACAGCCTCCCATTGCTGCTGCCAGGCCCGTAATCTGCCATGGGCCCCCGTACCGACTCCTCATGCTGCTGCCAGGCCCGTAATCTGTCATGGGCCCCTGTACCGCCTCCTCATGCTGCTGCCAGGTCCAGAGTGTGTCATGGGTCCCTGTACGGCCTCCCATTGCTGCTGTCTCCATCGCCACACTCTGCCATGTGCCACTTTCAGGTCTCCTCACACTGCTGGTGGGTTCCATTTTGTCATAGGGTGCTGGCAGATTACGGGCCTCCCATTGCTGCTGCCAGGCCCGTAATCTGCCATGGGCCCCCGTACCGACTCCTCATGCTGCTGCCAGGCCCGTAATCTGTCATGGGCCCCTGTACCGCCTCCTCATGCTGCTGCCAGGTCCAGAGTGTGTCATGGGTCCCTGTACGGCCTCCCATTGCTGCTGCCAGGCCCGTAATCTGCCATGGGCCCCCGTACCGACTCCTCATGCTGCTGCCAGGCCCGTAATCTGTCATGGGCCCCTGTACCGCCTCCTCATGCTGCTGCCAGGTCCAGAGTGTGTCATGGGTCCCTGTACGGCCTCCCATTGCTGCTGTCTCCATCGCCACACTCTGCCATGTGCCACTTTCAGGTCTCCTCACACTGCTGGTGGGTTCCATTTTTTCATAGGGTGCTGTATGGCCTCCCATTGCTGCTGCCTCCACCGCCACACTGTGGCTCCACACTCTGGTTTTGGCCCCGTGACCGCCCAAATGAGTGAAGTGTGCGGTGATTCTAAGATCGACGGCACTCATCTGCATGTCATACTGACTGACAGTATTATTTCTCTTCCCCAGCAGACTCCAAGGGCATTTAAATTAAAGGTACAGTGTTCTGCACTAATATAAAGGCTCTCTGAAGCCTAGAAACACCCTTTTTATAAGTTAAATTCGCAGCGAATATATTCGACTCGAATCAAATTTATTCCGCGAATTCGCCGAATCAGCCGAATCGAATTTTTGAATAATTCGCTCATCTCTACTAGCAACCTAACTAGCAAAGGGTGCTACACGAAGAATAAAAAGCCTGCAATTATCTATAAGTACTTGCTTGTAGATTGCTATTACTAAATATTTCTAAAGGAGCCTGTGTTGTAATTTCTAATATAAGGCTGAGGTTTCTCATTAACATATGCACCATTAACTGGTTAGCAGGACAGTGTCCCAGTCACAGCTGTACCCATGTATACTGTGCTTATATACAGTCATGGCCGAAATTGTTGGCACCCTTGATTTTTCTCCAGGAAATCATGTTAGTTCTCACGTCACCAACGTATTGCATTAACACATGTTTTGCTATACACATGTTTATTCCCTTTGTGTGTATTGGGACAAAACAAAAAAAGGGAGGAAAGAAAGCAAATTCGACATAATGTCACACAAACCTCCTAAAAATAGGGCTGGACAAAAGTATTTGCACCCTTTCACAACTGCGGATAAATAAGAATGTTACAAGCATGTATGCTCCTGTAAACTCACCCTGGGGCAAGTAACAGGTGTGGGGCAATATAGAAATCACACCTGAAAGCAGATATTTAAAAGGAGAGACGTTCACTTAACCTTTGCATTGTGTGTCTGTCTGTGCCAACACTATGCATGGACAACAGAAAGAGGAGACGAGAACTGTCTGAGGACCTGAGAACCAAAATTGTGGCAAAATATCAACAATCTCAAGGTTACAAGTCCATCTCCAGAGAACTAGATTTGCCTATGTCCACAGTGCGCAACATTATCAAGAAGTTTGCAACCCATGGCACTGTAGCTAATCTCCCTGGTCGTGGACGGATGAGGAAAATTGATGAAAGATTGCAACGCAGAATAGTCCCGGATGGTGGATAAGCAGCCCCAAACATGTTCCAAAGACATTCAAGCTGTACCTGTTGGCTCAGGGAGCATCAGTGTCAGCGCGAACTATCCGTCGACATTTAAATGAAATGAAAACGCTATGGCAGGAGACCCAGAGAGGACCCCACTGCTGACACAGAGACATAAAAAAGCAAGACTACAGATTTGCCAAAATGTACTTGAGTAAGCCAAAAGCCTTCTGGGAAACGTCTTGTGGACAGATGAGACCAAGATAGAGCTTTTCGGTAAAGCACATCATTCTACTGTTTACCGAAAACGGAATGAGGCCTACAAAGAACAAAACACAGTACCTACGGGTAAAATATGGTGGAGGTTCAATGATGTTTTGGGGTTGTTTTGCTGCCTCTGGCACTGGGTGCCTTGACTGTGTGCAAGGCATCATGAAATCTGAGGATTACCAAAGGATTTTGGGTCGCACTGTAGGGCCCAGTGTCAGAAAGCTGGTTTGCGTCCAAGATCCTGGGTCTTCCAGCAGGACAATGACCCCAAACATACGTCAAAAAGCACTCAGAAATGGATGGCAAAGAAGCGCTGGAGAGTTCTGAAGTGGCCAGCAATGAGCCCAGATCTAAATCCCCATTGAACACCTGTGGAGAGATCTTAAAATTGCTGTTGGGAAAAGGTGTCCTTCCAATAAGAGAGACCTGGAGCTGTTTGCAAAGGAAGAGTGGTCCAAAATTCCGGGTGAGAGGTGTCAGAAGCTTATTGATGGTTATAGGAAGCGACTGATTTCAGTTATGTTTTCCAAAGGGTGTGCAACCAAATATTAAGTTAAGGGTGCCAATACTTTTGTCCAGCCCATTTTTGGGGTTTTGTGTGACATTATGTCATATTTGCTTTTCTGCCTCTGTTTTATATTTGTTCCAATACATACAAAGGGAATAAACATGTGTATAGCAAAACATGTGTTAATGCAATACCTTTTTTGTGTGAAATACTTGATTTTCAGGAAAAATATCAAGGGTGCCAACAATTTCGGCCATGACTGTACAGTATATATTATATGTACCTTTTTTTGCTCAGTCCAATGTCATGTTAGTGACACCTGTCACCATTCCTATTTAGCATCTCTCCTCATTCTGAAATGTTCCAGTATGACCTATACATACTGTACTACTTATTATATACCAGATCATCACCATACACACTCTGCTATGACTGTACAATCTTTATATAATAAACAGTAGATTTACCAAAACTTTGTATTATGAGGACCTCCCTAAACTATAGAATCATCCTGTATTCATTCAGACAGTTACTTGCACTGCATACTTGTTGGTAAATCTAAAGGAGATTATACAATCAAATCACGTATGGTGAGCTTTATTTCCACCATGACTTCTATCAGTTACATGACTAGTCTAGGTTGGTGATTCAAATCTTCCCTTCTAAGTCACCAGGCATGCTATTTAATTAAGATTTCCTATCCATCCTGTGCTAGGAACAGATAACTACTCAGACTCTAATGTATATGCCTTCAACAATGCATGCTTGGCTCAAAAGGACTTTATTTTCATACTGTGCAGAAAGAATAATGTATAGTTAATACTGTATTACAACAACTGCTGAAACATTTATCATTGCTCTAAATCTGCAATATTAAAAAATAACAATTCAAATATTGTCTACTATACTTCTGGTAGTACTTATGTATGACACAGTGACCAGGGACATGTTAGTACATTCAATTATATTGAAAAAAATAGATTGTTAAGTTAATCATCAGATAACTGAAAGATCTGTTACACATAATATCGCTAAGCAAATAAAACATATACAACATACATCAGTATCCATGGGATAAGGCAAATGAGACCAGGAAATATTGTTCCATGACTGGCAGTACCTGTTGGGAAAGTAATTGTGGCAGAGAGTTAGTCACCCTTCAGTGTGGTTCTGTGTTGTACTGCTCAGATGATGCATAGCTCTGAAATCCTAGATAATGAGAAGATTCTACAACACCCAGGGGACTTGCTGTGTACCAAGTTGAAAACTGTAAAACTTTGCCATGAACTCCCAAGATACACAATAAGGAGAGCAGCTAATTGTTGTTTGGGTAAAACCAGCAGCATAAAGAATGTGACATTTCATATGTTTAGAGACATAATTAACCTGGATGCAGGAGATGTGATTCTTTACCGCACTTCCATTGTCTGTCAGCTGCGTGTGTGGAATATATGTGGCAAGCGACTTGTGTTTTCCATGAAAATTCCATTTGCAGTTAATACTAAAATATCAGTCAGTCTTCGGGTTCTTTATAAAGAATATAGAATGAATTCTCGGCTTTTCTGCACATTTTGGTTCCAGATACAAGGTTACATTCCTCTAAAGCAGGGTTAGGCAACTTTTGAGAGGTGGAGATCTACCTGAACAACATGAAAGAGATCAAAAATAACTGGGGGTCGGCACTCTTTTTTTAAAGAATGTAACTAGAAAACACCTAACTAAATAAAAAATTATAATAAAGCAAACGTCATTGTAAAAATATAAACTTAGCCTACCTTAAAAGTGGACAGTGTCAGTAGGGCAGTTGACAGTGTGTGGACAGTATTAGTAGGGTAGTGGATATTGTCAGTAAAACAGTGGATAGTGTCAGTAGGGCAGTGGATAGTTGTCAGTAAAACAGTGGAGGTGTCAGTAGGGCAGAGGTTGGTGTCAATAGGGTAGTGGACAGTGTCAGTCAGTAGAGCAGTGATTGGTGTTAGTAGAGCAGTGGACAGTGTCATTACGGCAGTGGACGGTGTCAGTAAAGCAGTGGATAGTGTCAAAAGAGCAGTGGACAGTTGTCAGTAAAGCAGTGGAGTTGTCAGTAGGGCAAAGGTTTGTGTCAGTAGGACAGTGGACAGTGTCAGTCAGTAGAGCAGTGATCGGTGTCAGTAGGTCAGAGGAATCAGTAGAGCAGTGGATGGTGTCAGTCGGGCATAGGACAGTGTAAGTAGTTTTTTCAATTTTGTTATTTTTTTATGTATTTAGAAAAAAAAATGTTTTCATTTATTTTACGATTTTATTCTTTATTATTTTTTACAATTTTTTTA